AGAGCACTGATGCAACATTACGTTTATCCCCTTAACACATTTATACAGCCTTTTACCCAACATCCCAAGGAAAATCCCTGGCTAAGGTAAAGCCTTCTGCCTGCAAGATACCACACGCATTATAAATACAGTTCTTTCTCCCCTTGCAGTTGTTTGCATCTGTCACTTGTTCACCTTGTGTCAAGCATGCATTATATAAATTAAAGCTATAACTTTTATAAATTTTATAAATTTAACAAATTGAAGGGTATGAAACCAGTGCTGTACTTCATAAGAATATGAGGTGAGGAGGGATATATATGATGAGTGACTCAATAACACTCACAGGCATATATAAGGAGGCTTGTATAATTCATCCTTTTCCCTCCTCAGAACCATCCCAACGCCAAATTCCAAAGTCCTACTACAAAGTGGAGGCATCAGAATATTTCACTGAAGTAGAAGTAAACAGCTGTTTTCCCATGCTTCATAGAACCAACTGAACACAGAGATTTGCAACAGAAAGGATTAAGCGGCCTTACATACAGGGATACGTGCCTGTATCTGCCAAAGTCCCATTATGTCTATTCATTTATTATAGTTAAGTGCTCTATCTAATGACACATAAGCCAGAATAGTGAGGCCTTTTAAGATCAAGACATCATTTTAGCTCCACTGGCTGTTGTGGGCTCTGAACAGTTGCTTAACTTCAATATTACTCTTAAATGTTTTTAGTCTGGCTTATGTGATGTCCAATACAGGGGCCAAGAGGTATCCTGAGTTAAAAGTAAAATGTACAACAATGTAACAGAAACTTTATAAAGATGTTTAAATCAGTATCACTGATCCATTCTGAGGTGGAAGGAGTAGCTTATTTCCTGAACAGTGGTCTTCTGATCCTGCTGCATTGGTGCAATTATCATTTGAGGCAGAAGAATACTGAAAAGATTTCCCTTCCCTGTTGCACCTCCACCTACCTGCTGCATCACAAAAAGACAGACACAAAGTACTCCAAATTCTTCTTTTGCCAAGAAACAACAATGGTTCTCAAACTGCTCGAATTCCCCCAGTAAAAAAGAAAAAATATGGGACATCCAAATGTCTGGGGTTTTTTCCTCTCAAGCATATACACAGACATACCAAAAAAAAGCTGCTTCCACCACTAGTTGATGTTAAAATTGATGTTAACTAAAAAAGTTTGAGATTATTTTTAAGGAAATATTTTCATAAATCTATACTATTGTTTCAGTATGGTTAAAAAAAATTATTCAAAATTAACCATCCGAAGACCTAGCAGTATCCAGTACCTCACCAACATTTTTTTGATTGCTCCTCCCATTTCAGATTTTAATCCCCTCTGGGGATTAAAAACAAACCAACCAACCAACCCTACACTGCCGGTAGAAGTCCTTGGCTACCTTACGACAGCAGAGTAGAAAGATGAAATAATTTCCCCATTAGGATCAAGAAATATTATAGAATTGCGAGAGGAGGACCATTCCAAAGAACAGAAGATTTCAAGTTAATACACCTAGCAAAAGGAGATGTGACTAGTGGTGACAAGAAACCTTTTTGAAAATAATATAATGTGTACCTTCTCGCAGAACCTAATTCTCTCACACAACAGGAGCAAAAATTAGAAACACAATGGAAATTATTTCATAGCATACTTCAGAGGTAATGGATTGAATACTTAACCCCATTTCTGGGTAACTGACCAAACAGACTCTAATTTGGTATCACTTCCAGTTCAACATTTTTCCTTTTTTTTGACAAAGTGGTTGTAATAAGGAAAAACCAAAGCCAGAAAAATCACATTAAAAACATAAAAGTACTGGTTTTTAACCTTTGAAAAGCCCTCTTAAAGGGGGCTTAAATATCAGATATGCAAGTGATGAAGAATCTTTGTTTTAACGAGCTCTCAAAGTCATTACAAAGACAACGGAGTGCATGCAATTTTTAAGCAACAAAATTTAAAAGGTTCCAACAGCAGTACTACAAAGCTGAGAAGTTAACAGGATGTCAGAAATCTTGACATCATCACAGTTAAATCAGAAAGCAACATATATCTGAACAAAGAAGATCTGTTTGGAATACGTATGTTGTAGGCAACAGAGAAGAGGTAAGAGTGAAAACTAAATTGAGATCCAGCACAAAAAAACGAGATGCATCGCAATGAAATGCACACAAAATCCTGGCTGAACATCCTCAAAATCTGTGCTGGATTTTTGGCACCAAATGTAAAGGAAATTCACTGTAGTATACATATATTTTAAGACAATATTGTAAAAAAAACAGTCTTTGGCATTTGTTGTATCTACTTCAATTAATTTTATGTACAAGGCATGCCTTTTCCCCCAAATCATTACTATTATTTTTTAATCAAGCAAGAAATAGAAAAAGTTTTCTAAGGAAATTACTTTTAATTTGATGAAGATCATACAAAAGTATTTTTACGTATTTTAATAGTGTTAATAGCTTATTCATTTCTAGTGCTAAATACATTCAAAACAGCAATAAAAGGAGAAGGACCAGTAGTCTGCTCTGCCCAAATTGGTACAAGACAAGAAGAGCAAAAAAGAATATAGATGGCAAACCTGCAAGGATCAGATAACTGACTTTTACTTGAATGTTGCAACTTAGAGATCAAGATACTCAGAGATCTTACATTCATGAAAAAGAACACACATGGAAGTAAACTCTCTGAATCTACCTACTCACATCAGAGGATGCATTTAAATAGAGACGGCGTTTAAAAGCAGTGTTCCACATTATCCACAATGTAACTGAAAAGCCTACGTTATTTGAAGCAATAATTCAAATGGACAGTTTCTTTCTAAGGAATGCATGTTTGACTGTTGTTTTTCCCCACACTGTTGTTGCATAAAGGTCACAACTGTATAAAATACACAGGAGTGGGATCATGATCCCATGCCTAGTCAGCTAAAATGAATTCCACTCCCAGCTTTGTGAATGACTTGCAACATGAGCAACAAAATTATTTTATCTTTTTTTGTTCATCTGTACAATGATACTTACCTACTTCACCAGGTTGTTGTGGGAACTAATGATGGGTATGTAAATATTTAGGAAGCATAAGCTGCATCCATTCCTACAAAAATCTGTCCTACAGTAGCTTGACTAAGTTTTTCAGGACAACGATTATCTATCTTTTTTTATTTGTTTGTACAGTTCCCAGAACAATAGGGTCTTAATCCTGGACTTGGACAGCTAGGCACCATTGAAACATAAATAATTAGCAAACAATATGAGTTGAGAGATTTAGCAAAGTGTTATCCTTCCCAGAGCTCCAAGGCACAGAGCATTTAAATGATCAGAATTTAGCCAATGCAAAGGGAACTGGGGACAAGGAACCATAGCCTTGGTTGCTTGCTAACAACTTTGGTGGCTTGTTCTTGAAAGAGCAGGGATACAAAAAAGAAGACTGATGGAATGCATCTGTGACAAGAGAACACTATTCAGAGGAGCATAGGGACTGCAAATATAGTTCCCTTTTGAGCAAGGCATTTAGGGTAAAAGCTTTTTATGTATTTGCCAGCTCTACTGTATCTCCAAACTAAGAGCAAACACAGTAGGAAAAAATAGGAGTTTGTTTTGATTTTTGGTTTGGTTTTTTTTGAGAAACAACACATAAACATGCAATTTGCCAAAAAGAGATACACATCAACAAGAAAGAAACAGTTGCATAACCAACAGTAGCTGTTGTCTCTTGAGATGTGTTCTATGCACGTATATGCTGCCTTTATCACGAGCATGCCCACCACATTCAAGCTAGAGTCTCACTTAGAAGTATCAGCTGTGTGTTATCATGCACACCAAGAACATCCCCCTGCTTCCTGTCAGAAGTAAAAAGGTTGAAGCTAGTCCAATCACTTGAGTAGCTCTTCATCTTGGACAGCCCTTCATCTTCAGCATCTAAGAACAGCTTCATGTAACAAGCATAAAGGGTATGACCTGGAATTTGCGCCAACATTTCTAAGTAAAACAATTACTGAACAATTAAGCAACTGTTTCTTCTTCATTGCCTGTCCATGCATTTGTTCTGTTGTTGGTGACTTCTAAGCTATGTACTCTCTGAAGGTGGATATCAGTAATTTGGGCTTGTTTACTCTAGAAATGAGACTGATGGGAAGCATGACTGTCAGCATTACTGGAGTGCAAAATAATTCCTTCCAAGTGACAAATGAAGAAATGCTCTGCTTCCAGTCAGTCTGGAAGACACCTGGAGGACAGGCAATTTCCACAAGGTGATGAATGAAAAGGAAGTAGAATGCTGAGACGAAAGCCTGGAGCATTTCCAGTAAACTGTGAATGCAGGGTGGGGCAAACAAAAGCAGTCTTCAAGAGGTATAAAGGCAAAGAGTCAGGGTTTAACACACTACACACAATTTTTATTTTCTTAAATAAAGATCATGGTATTGATCAAGCAATATATTAGGAAAAAAATGGAGAAATACAACAGAGACCAAGTAAATATTATTTTCAGGCACTAATCAAAGTACATACAATACACACACAACACAAAACAAACTAAACACTTATTTACCTAGATGTATCGAGTTAGTATTATCCCAATATTTTAGAACAGCCTGTATCCCATCATTTTATTACATGCCATTATTACACTGTGCATCCAAAACTCTTTGATACCCTCAGTCAACAATACATACTTACTACATACCTAACTTTAAACACATTAACCCACACATTTAAGTAATCTGTTTAATGCACAATAAAAATCAAAGCAAATCTATCTTTCCAATAATTTAGATCCCTCACCCCCTCTTGTATTTGGCAGTTTGATAATCGAAAAACTTGAATAAATTAGAATAATAAAGCATTTTCATCAAAAGACTACAGAGAAGTAATATGCATACAGTTTGATGTGATCTGAAATAGATGCTGGATCTCTATTTTTGAAATAAGAGAAATAAAGATAACTTTTTTTTTTTTTACCTAAAGTAAATGGAAAAAAGTCTTAGAAAGTCTCAAAGTCTTACCTGTCGGTATGCTTCATAGATTATATCAAACAAGAAAGCCTGAGGCATTTCACTTGCTCTGTACCTAGCACGTTCCAATGAGTGGTCTAAACAGCCATCTGCAGCAGAGGCAATAACAGTAGAAACTAGAGGACGAATTGCTCCTGCTGCCTGTGGAACAAAACACAAAGAGAGGCCTAAATGTTATTAATATTAATGTATAACAGACAGCCGCAGTTAAAAAAAGTAAGAGTTTTAAAATACATTTTCTACTTATTTATCTTTTATGTATCTCATAATGGATGTCATACTACTTAGTCTGTATGACACTTTTAATATGAATATAGCAATGGAAGACTGTGTAAGTACAAACTGAGGGCCAATAACAACAAAAAAAATATCTTAAGTCCTTCATAAACATCTACTGCAAAACATGTACAGATCTGAGATGTTCGTTTTTCAGACTTTCTTCTACACACACACATATTAGGTGGTTTCTGTGAGGACAGTTCTAGGCCTATTCAGATATCAAACAGCAGGAGACACACCTGAGACATCTTGACAATTCACAACACCTACTGCTTTCACAGATTTCAATATGGCTAAACTGCTCAGAAATAAGCAACAAGAAAAGTTTCAGAAAATTGAGCTTGTTCCTCCATGTTGAATTCACCCTGTGAAATACTGAGCAACCACACTTACCAGCAAAATCACTGCAAACACACTACATACATCAGAAAGTATTCGATATGTGGCAGCACTGTGCCCCAGAACAGATATTTAAATGCTTATATTTCAGTTTTGGCTTTGCTTAAGATTTTAAACTAATTAAACATGTATCTCTGATCTTTTCATCAATACATAGTATTAAAGATCTATGGCATCTCTGAAACAGAACTCTTCTAGCTGGTTTTAGTCATTTTGATACCAGAAGGTTACCCACACTTCATCAGTCAGTTATCAAATGCTCACATGAACTTTATATGAAGCTAAAGGCAATTGGGACAAGAGTTGTCCATACAATAATGAAGAAAAGGATGCAATGGCAGAACATTGCTTATCAAGTCACAGGGCAAAAAGCATGCTCCCTAACAATGCCAACCACTGAGAATGGCATCCTTACACTATACTGTTTATTATCTATTTTTAAGAGTATTAAAAAAGAATAATTGATACTGTTCCAAAACATCTGGAATTATCCAACATCTTAAATCAGTATACCTAGAAAACTACTCCCAATGGTGAATTCTGACACTTTTCACTGCAGTCACAGAAGATCTTCTGAGGCCTAGTGAGCTTTGACACAGAAAAAAAATAGGTCTCATCACATAAAATAAGAGTACTGTTATTGTTTATCTTCTGTTGGCAAATCCTGCCCTCATACATATGAGTCCTGTCCATTCTTACACTATTTCTGACCTCAGATAAGCATACAGTGGTGGAATGAGACATAAAAAGTGAGCCCAAAGTCTTTTTCTTCTCAGAAGAGAAAGAACTAGTTGTCTTCCCTCCCCCTTTCACACTGCTGAACAATAAAACAAAGAGGAATGCAGTCAGCGTGTTGAGCACTTTATGAGCTCTAAAATACAGCTTCTTAGTTCATTCTTTTACAAAATAAGGACAGAGATGTGAAACAATTTCTAATGTCCAAAGAGTTCTGTTATGCACGAGCTACCAGGGCAGGGAGAAGGGAGAGAAAAGATTCAAAAGATTAATTTGACAAGAGAAATATCTGAACCACTTTCTCAAAATCTGAAAAGCGCTTTTTCTTTCTAATACATGGGAAGAGCTATCTATATAAAACACTACATGGAGCAAAACAGTATCATTCAAAGGCAAAACATGGTACAGAAAGATCAGTGAGAACTATGAAATTGCAGAACTGCCTGTAAAGGATCTCAAGAGGTCATCTAGTCCATCTTCTGTCCTAGGCAGGATCAATTTTACTTCTGTAATAGAAAAGACAAACTGACAAAACTGAACACCACTATAATTTTAGTAATACATCAATGTATTAAATGAGGAGTAAATTTAACAGATGTACTTTGAGGAAAAGCTGTGCATAAGCAGAAGTAGAGAGACTAAATTATCTGCAACTTGTCCCCTCTCTGTTTCCTATCATTCCAGGACATGGATTATTACCTCTATATCCCAGCTGCTGGGCATTTGGACTATGTTATTTTGCTCTGCCGTCATATTTTAATTGGTCACACACACACACAAAAAATTATAAAATTAGAAGGTCATGGGAAAAGAGACAGAGCAGCATGCTAGCCACAGCTTTTCTGTAATTAGTTAAGTCTATTTGAATTTTTTTTCTGAAACAGTTACAATTCCAGAAAACCAGTTAGCAAAAGAGGATTTCTTAGGCTGATCCAATATTTTATTACAGTTTTTAACAGTCATGTCATGTTACATTTTAAGCATAAAACAGGCCAAGAGAATACAATGTGACTTGCGTAACCAAATCTCACAAGTGAAACACGCACTCTGAGGAACAAAAAACCAAACTGCAATTCTAAATAAAATTGAAATACTCAAAATTATATCTTAAAAGAGCTCTGAAACACATTGTTTTCTTGACATCTGGTTTATTGCACAATAAAAATTCATGAATGTCTGTATCTGTATCTTTGTGACAATACTGAACCACATCTTCTGCTCTGCTGAGGCCTAGCTCTTCCAGAAGATTCAAGAAGATCTAATTTCTAATAAATCCAAACACATCACTTTAGAAAACCCCAATTAACTTCTCAAGTAATTGAAAGCTTCATGGCACCTAAAATTTAACAAATGGCATTTTTTCAAACAACTACACTTTTGCTTTACATTATCCCAGCTCTGAGTCCAGTGTGGCAGGCTGAGAGCTTCTCACCTGTCTTCCCTCCATTTCAATGAGAAATCACAAGTCAGGCAAGTCCACTCAAACTATACCTCACATGGACTGAAAACATGAAGTTTGATACAAAGAATAAGATTTATGGCTGACTTCTGATCATGCAAGGGAAATTTTTTACTACGTATGCAGTAACAGGATAACTAGCAGTCATTTGATTAAAAAAATCAGCTTTTATTTCAAAAAAGGACAACTCAGTCCATGACTGCTCTATGGTCTAAAAGCAGAATGCAGAGCTCTAGTACTTACTAAAGCCAGACAGTTTCTACCGCACAGAAAACCTTCATGTGATGAGCAGCTGGGGTCCAAAAGCCGTGAATCTATGAGCTAGAGCATACTTGCTAAGATGCAGCACTGAGTTGAAACCTTAAAATCCTGAGACAGGATACAGAAACTGGTTGGTTGTTTTGCTCAGTACTGGCTCACCTTTCTGCAAGACCTTCCTCTGTCTCAGTATACACACACGGGCTCCCTCAACCAGATGATGTGACCCAACACAGGGCTGAGTTTACCACCTCAGTGACACAAGAACTACATTAGTTCCTAAGGCCACTTTCAAACTGGGTGAAACTGGGATCAAGCAAAGGAAAATACTGGCTTCTGTATGCCCTGTGCTGTTTTCATATGGGACAAGAGAGCTGAGATCCTAACGCAGGAAACCTTGCATCTGCAGTACTTTTGGCGACATTCTCTAGCTGGCACATGCCGACACAGCTGCCAAACCCAAACTGGCTTACACAGACCTCACCGCACGTGCTTCTACTTCCAAAATTGGCTCATGGCTATCTTCATTCATGGTGTAAACATAATATTTGACATGTAAAATCAGAAGAATTGAGCTGTGAATTTTGTTCTCATATACAGGCCAAAGAGGGGCACAGTTTAAGATGTATGGCTCGTTCTGTGGCATTTCCTTCTGCTTAGTGCAAGCGTCCTCCCTACTCAGCACAAAGCTATTCAGCACAAAGCCTCTTCTGAATTCCACTCCTAGCAGTCTTGCAATGACCTAAACAGGGAATTTAGGTACTTAAGACAGGCTACAAGACCACATTTTTAAGTTCAGAAACTTAAACATTAGGGCACAGTAGGGCAAATAATACAATGAAGGACCACGGTATCAGAAGGAGCTTTTGCCACTGATGACTGTGGAGTGTAAGTGAAGAACACAGTCACCCAGCTAGTCTATGTCTATTCAGCTACACCACCAAATATTTCATTCTTTGCAAGGAATTTCCAAGTTGTTTATCTGGTTATGAATCAATAACAAAGAATTATGTCCATATAAGTAAAGAGGGTATATACTGAGTCTCAGGTATTTGAATTTTATTTGTTCTAATTCAAGAAGCTTTGACTTGCTATTTATGTCAGGAATGTACAGGTATTTGGCCCGGCTGTCAGGCAAGAGGCTCAGACATGAATTTAAAAAAATGAATTAAAAAAAGAAAATCTGTCCTCATTTAAAATTTTAAGTACTTGGTAGTGTCACTATAGTTTTAAAGACCCTTTTTTTTTCACTTTGAACTAGCCTACCACAAAATACACATCCTCTGCATCTAAAGCAAGTGGGTCTTACACTAACATTTCCCAGAGTACTCATCTTCCAATTTCTAATCATTTTGACCCAGATCTCAAGTAGTTTTGCTTTCAAAATCATACACAAAATGCATCCACTTCACATTCAACACAAGGGGAGTAAAATCCAAGCACTATTGATGACATCTTTTATTACAAAATGAAGTACGAATGTTTAGGCCACAGAAGCCTACGCACAACGTAGCAACCTGACTGACACAATGCAGTATAGCTTATTTTCACTGAATATTCATAAAAACTGAAAATCCTCATTTTATTTAAAAAAAAAAACAAAAACCACACACACACAAAACAGAACCCACTAAAATTTCCAAAAGGATTAGGGGGGCAGATGGAGCTTATATGACAAGCAAGAAATTATCCAGATTACAAATACTCCCAACACATAGTGCATTATTCAGCTGAGACCAACACTCCACATCTAGAATACAACCTACCAAGAACAAGTTATCAAAGAGCCAGAAGCTCCAAAAGAGCATGAAAACCAACACACCCACATCACTGATCTGGTAATTTTTGATAGCCAGAGTTGAAACACAACAATGCTAAACAGCTGCTAAGCTCAACAAGTTGAGTGATATGGACTAGAAAGAGAAAAAAAACCAATGCAGTGGCACAAAATCCTTAAGAAAAATACCGTAAGTACAATTCCTTTTGTTTTACAACAGTGTGGTAACAAGCT